CCCCAACCATGTTTGTCTCCCTGCTAGAAATATCCAGCAAATAAGACCCCTTTTTCTCCCCCTGAACCACAAGTATTATTCAAGAGTTTCTTTGCTTTTCCTATTGATGGTATTATGGGATAGTTTACTAAAAGCCATTCCCTGACTGGATAACTTCTAAGGTTCCTTCCAATCAATTGATAAGCATTAATAAATATGCCAAACACCATGCTAAGTGCTGGCTGGGAATACCAAGAAAGGCAAAAACAGTCAGTCCCTATTCTCAAGGATTTCATTCTCTAATGAGGGAGAAAATATGCAAACAACCATGTACAAACAATATATTTACAGGATACATGGGAGGCACTCTCAAAGGGAAGGCACTGGCATTAAGGAGTGGGGATGGGAGGAGCTTGGGGTGGGGTGGGTTCCTTCTTGCAGAGAGCTGAGACTTGAAAGAAACAAGGAAACCAGGAAGTGGAGACACAGAGGGAGAGAATTCCAGGTCTGATGGACAGCCAGTGAAAACACACATAAAGACGACGAAGGTCTTTAAAAATCAAGAGGATTCTATATTCCAGTGACAAGGGGAATGCCTGGATGGAGCTTAAGCTCAGGGTGGCATTGTTAGCTTTGTACCTTAATAAGATCACTTTGTCATCTGAGTGGAGACTGGATTGGAGTGGGGAGAGACTTTAGCATTGAAACCATCCAACAGGCTACTTCAGTAGTCCAGCCCAGAGAAACAGATATGAAAGTCATCTAAATAGATATGATAATCGAATCCTTGGGAGCAGATGAGATCACCAGCAAAACAGTAAAGGAGAAGAATAAAGGAAAAGAGGCTCTGCCTAGGGCAGAGCCAGTAGGACAAGTCCATTTAGGAGCTGTGTGACCTGGATGAACATCCAACAAGGGCATGGGGAAGTAGTCAGGAAGATACAGAGAAGAGCCAAGAGAGAGCAGTGCCAGGAAAATCTAGAGAAAAGGGAGTCTCAAGAAGAGCGAGATCAACAATGCAAAAGGCTGCAGAGAAGTCACCAAGGACGAGTGCTTAGAAAATGCCATGAGATTTGGCCACTACAAATCACTGGCAACTTTGGGGAAAGCAGTTTCAGTTAAATGATGAGGTTAGAAGCCAGAATGCAAAGAGTTAAGAAGACAGTAAGAGGAAAGGAAGTGGGAAGGAAGGAGATATATAAAAAAAAAAAAAAAGCCAAATCAACAACAACAACAAAAAAAAAACCAAAACAAAACCAGCTGGCAGGGTTGGGATAGATCAAATGAGGGTTTTCTGAGGATGAAGGAGACATGGGTGAATTTGTAGGAATTATGGTAAATTATAATTGATAGTTAATGAAGCTGTTATTTGTGGTTTATAGATCATAACAGTAGGATTCAGTGCATGGAGAACGGAATGTAGTAGAGCATTAGGTGACAATAAGCAACGTATCTTGAATATGTTGGAGCAAGTTTAGGGTTTCATTACACAACTGACCATTACAATAAATTTATTGTTTCTATTCTTCCTACTCTTCAAATTACCTGGACTAGAAGGAAAGTAAAATGAAGGCCAATATTTTAAAATTGACTTTCAAAAGACATGTTTTAAATTTCTAAAAGAGAATTTAGCTAACATGTTTGAGTCTATCACAAGAGTTCTAGGTCTTCCCCCTGTCCCACCCCCACCCCAAAACCGTACCAAAGTTTCAAGAAATAAAAATAAAATAAAATAAAAGGTTTCTATGATCTCATCTTTAAATGATCTTTTTTTGAAATTATCTTCAAAATTCAGACATAATTTAGTTTGAGTTTAAGGCCACTGCTAAGAGGGTAAAGGGAAAGTCTACATTGACCCTACTAGTGCTTTCACTTATCTTTGTACTGAAGATTTCAGTCTACTGAGCTGTTAAATGAACTCCACTGGTGAATTTGAAGTTTCTGTTCTTTCATTCTCATTCACACAAAGGGTACGATAAAATTTACTTAATAAATACTTGCTGCCTTAATTGATCATTACTAATTCTGTACAATGAGAGCTGTGTGTCACCACTTTGAAATGGTTATTAATAAAATGATTCCATAAACAAATATATTTACTTACCTACTAATAATTGACACCAAAATAACTTAACATCCTCAATGCTTGGCTTTGACAGGTGTTTATTATTTTCTACATATGAAATTTTATATCTTTAGAAATTACCCACATTTTTGGATGAAATAGAGAAAAAGGAGAGAGCTGTATATAAAGAGTATGCATATATTATAATACCTGTCATCTTCTAAATCACATTGATACCTCCCCTCCCCTAGGGCAGGAACAGAGTCTTAGACTTCAGTGCCTTTCATATAGTACCACTCTGGTGTAGACTCTCATCCCTTCAGGCCTAGACGCCAGGTCTGCCTGCCTCCAGTCTGCACTCTAATCCATCCTCCATTCAGACATTAAAGTGACTTACCTAAAGCACAGGGCCAACCAACCAAGTCACTTTGCTACTCAATAAACAGTGGTGGTTCCCTATTGCCTTTAGGATCAAATGCAAAATCTTCTGGCATCCAAAGCCCATCATAACCTAGTCCCCTCCTACCTTTGTAATATTTTTATATCTAACTCCCTGCCAATACTCTTTGTTCCAATAGTACTGGCCTCCCTTGATGTCCCGAGAACAAGACACTCTTATCTTTCAGTGCTGGACATTTTCTCTGGTTCCCCCATGCCTGGAAAGCTCTCCTTCCTCATCTCCACCTACTAGATTCCCTGGCTTATTTAAGTTCCAATTAAAACCTGTATTCTACAGAGGACATGTCCTCAACCCCTCCTAATTCTAGAGACTTCCTTCTCTTATTTACTTCCTAATTATTCTGTATATATCATTTGCACATATGTATTTGTTTATTGTCTCCCCACATTAGAATGTAAACTCCTTGAGGTCAGGAACTGCCTTTTGCCTCTTTTTGTATCCCTAGCCCTTAGCACAGTAAATTGAAGGCAGTTAATAAATGTTTACCGACTGACCAACTGCTTAGTGAATAACTGTTAAATGCTAAATCTGTTCAGCCTGCAAGAAGACTGCAGAAATGTACAAGTTTAATACTACCACTACATAAAACAGCTTACAGAGCAAAAATAAGCGTAGTTTCTTTGACAAAATGAATGTATGTCAAAAATAATGAAACTCTAACTTTTAATTGTTCTCCTCTGAATCTCCTTCATTTTGAATATTTTAAAAGCCCCTAGACTAGGCTATAAAAGAAAAATGAGATTCTGAGAAATAAAAACATTTGATGTTTTAAAAAAAAATTTAATTACACAGAAAGAGAAGACCATGGCCAATGACAGAAAGTTTTTCTCTCAGCTATCACTTACAACCTAGAGAGAGGGAGACAATGACACTGGACTGGAACTCATTAGATGAACAGATTCAAACAAGGAACAAGGTAGAAAAATTGTGTCAATGTCTTGCTAAAAATAAGGAATATTCTCCTTAGAATTATAGTCATGCACATATCTGGAAAATCATTTAACAGTTGAAATGTCACTCTGTTGTCTGTTTTGATGCACGTGCATATGTGTTTTAGAGGGACATGACAGGGATGCTGATTTTTTAAAAGTTATATAACCCAGAGATCATGAGGCCATTGAAATGAAACATTTCATTTTAATAACATGCTGAAATTTCTTTATGGCTAAGAGTTTGTCCAACCATGACTCAATCGGATTGAGGTATTATCTGAGTTTCAGTGTAACCATCATAAGAATTTCAACAACTGCCACAGATTTTTTAAATGCCTCAGCCCACTTCTGGTTGAAGCAGTTAGCTTGAATAACATCTGCCAATCCAGAAGAAGTCAGATTAAAAGTTTAATAGTTTTTTTTCCCCCTTTGGGACTTTAAAATACCATCATCAGTAAAATAACACATCTTATAGAATATGTAAGGAATTATGTACAGATAAAAGAAAGATTTGAATTGGTTCTATTATTTGAACCTGGGAGAAAAATCTGCTTTCATCTGTCACAGCTATCATGAAATTCAAAGATACAACATCCCACACATAGTGCTCTATATTCTATTTCACATGGTCTAAAAGTTTACTTTATAAGATATAAGAAAAATGACAAGGTTTTTGAGCATTCCAAATATTACCCAGCAATACATGATTTTCTGCAAAATAATTTCTTGGTGTTTAAAAAGACAATGGGAGAAATTAAATACTTGAGCACAAACTTCTTTCATAATGCTGTAGCAACCATAAGTCTGTTAAGAAATGTCAATCTAAAAATAAATTACTAATTATAAATCCTTAGAGTTGTCTAAAGAAAAATATTTGCCCTCTAATACTAAAATGAACCTAATATGTAGCGTACCTTGATGCAGTAAAATTGGGGTAGGAAATTTTTTTACCAGGCCCCCCCCCCCCCCACCTACACCAATATAACTCTGCAGCATCACAATTTGAAGAAAATACTCCACAGTCTAAACTTGGCGGGCCTATTAAAAAGTCTATCTATCTCTACTATTAGTTACTCACTGAAAGATACAGAGCAATCAATTAGTGATCTGCTGTTTAAAAGGTCTAACCAATTATAAAATAATTTGTTCTTTAAGAAGCAAATTCAGTCATGGCATCTCAGAGTTGGAAGGGACTGAAAAGGTCATCCATTTTCCCCTTATACCTAAGGCAGAAATCTCCTCTATAATATTTCCAACAAGTGGTCATCCAGTCTCTGTTTGAAGACTTCCACTAATGGGGAACTCACTACCTACAAGTCAGCCTCATATGTGAACTGCTCTAAAGCTATCTTTCTTATATCAAGAAGGAATTCAATTGGATCATCATTCCCAACTGACCCTTGGGGTCAAGCAAAACAAACCTTATAACCCTCTTTCAGTTGACATCTCTAATTAGATATTTGAAGATAGCTATTTCCCCCCTCTTTTCCCCATCTTTAATGGCTTAGCTTACTTCACAATGGTTTCAGCCTGCCCTTCTTTTCCCCTATTTATCACAATATACCTTCTTTCACTGGCTCACTGCTGGATTCTCCTTTTAGACTCAGCATTCGGGAGAAGCCACTGGACAGAGTAGAGAAAATACCACGAGTGAAATATCCTTCTTGGTCTGAATTCTCTGACCTTACTGAAGTCAGAAGTGACCTTGCAGCTCTGCTACTGCAATGGGGTGCAGGTTCAGAAAGCGATCTGGTGAAGGGAATCCGAAATGACCTGGTGCTGCCAGCTTGGTTCGCTGTTGGTGTTACAGGAACATCATCAGCACAAACATCACTGTGAACTGTTTTCAGGAGGCCCTCAAAGGACTGTGGCTTGTCAGGATCACTTCTACGACTCTGTGATCTCTTTCTTTTGCTCCCTTTCCACCGAAGGCTGGGATGTGTCTGCCACCTATAAGCACCCAGTGGTTTCCCCAGATCAGAATTGGTATGCTCATAAGAACTCTTCTTACTTTTTGCTGGACGGCACCATTGACAATTTTTTAAACCTGTTCCACCTCCTATAGGACCACCAGCAGGTTCTGATAGAGATCTCTGATAGCCTGCAGGACGGAGAGCTTTCTGCCTTCTAAAGATGCTCATTTTCCATCAAACAGCTTTCGACAATTTCCCTAAACTGAGTTTTCTTCAACTTTTGCAGCCTTTGCAGTCAAGCCACACTTGTCTGGATAGCTGAAAGCATTCTACTGCTTAAACAGCTTTCTTTGTGTGGCTTTGAACCACAGCAGATGTTGCCGTTTAAGGGCTGGTGTCATGTTATTACCCCTTTTTCCCAGATCTCAGAAAATGTGAGCAGCACCCAAAAATCTCTTGCCCGGATCAAGCTCCATCTTCAGTTTATGAAAATGATGAAGATTTCTAGCAGGCCATTTGCACTTCCTGCCCTGGGGTAAATGCTTCTATACCAGGCTTTCAGGAAATAACTTCAAAAAAAAAAAAAAAAGAGTAGTGAAGAGAGACAAAAACCCACAAACACCTTTATGGGCCAATAGCAGTAAAGTTTTTACCATGCAAATGATGGTGGGTTAAAAGCAGAATGTGAAAGTACTTAAACTGACATCCGTGCAAAATCACAAAAATATTCTGTTAAGTCACTGCCCATCACGATGTAGTTCTGTTCATATTGCAGAAGTTTTAAGTGATGAACAATTTCACTGACATTTACACATAGACTCCCTCTAGCAAAGCTTCAGCAAGAACACTGCTCTTTATCAAAAGGGAAAATCTTTTATCTAAACTGAGGAAAAGGTAAATCTCAGGAGAGTCAATCAAGGAACAAGCAAAAAAGGAAAAGAAAGCTGTAATTTAAAACAGTAATAATGTAAATATACTGGAAGAATGGAAAGAACACACAAGGCTGGAAGTAGGAAGAAATGTGGGTGGGATTTTTACTAAGTTTTAGACACTAGCTAAGAAAAGGAAAGTTTTGAGGCAAGAATTTGTGGCAACTGGAACATAGGAATAGACATATTTTAATCTTTTGTAAGAGGATAAAGTTTATTTTGCAAATCTAATCGGGACAAGTCAAATGGAAAAAATACTATCTGTTCAACCAAAGAAACTGCTTTTTATTCTGCACTCCCTATAACTTCAAAAACAGCTGATTAGTTAAAATTTTGTCACAGTATTTTATACTTAACCATATATGGTTATATGCCAAGTTTTAGGCTACCTTAAAATCTTTAACTGTCTGTTCACAATCCCCTAAAAACAGGGGATTACAATGGAAAGCCTAACAGATCCAACACTACCAATAAAAGATTTATTACAAGGACAATCAACTTTACTTTGCAAGTTATATAAATGGTACTTTGGCAAATCTGGGAAACTATCCATTCCTTTGCTATAAAGTATATAATTTGTTACCTGGTATATCTATATGTTAAGGGATTTAAGTACTGGATTTTTAAAGAAATGAAATCAACAAAATTATAGTTGTTCTTTCTCCTCTTTAAAAAATGAATGTAAGCAACATTACAAAAAGAACCCAATTAACATTGATCTAATTACAAAGTTCCAAATTCTCTTCCAATCTTTGTTAATGTACTTATTGTACTTTTAAAAATCTTGTAATCAAGATTTCCCTACATTTATATGAAATACAAAGTAGATTTTTTTCTGACTTTCATGATGTTCTAGAAAAGATTATATGAATTGATTTTAGGGAACCTATTAATATATTAAATGTATTACACTTATGTAGGGGAATTCTATTTGGCATAGTGTGAAAAGCAAAACCCTTTTTTACATAAATAACTTCTTAATTTAACTATGCATAAATCTAAAATCTTATATATTCAGTTTGTATAAACCAGAGCAATGAAAAGCTGTACTAATTTATTAACATCTGCTTTTGTTTGTGCTACTCATTTATGAAGATAAGTAATGCGTGTTAACATATCACATGTGTTGTTATTTTTGAAAATGGATAGCAGTGTTTTTCCCTCTAAGAATCTTCAAGCACAAAGCATGTTACAAAGCAAACAGAAAAAGACTAAGTGACTATGAAAGAAGAGTGACCACTGACCTGACAGTAGAGATCAGTATGAATGAGAGAAGAACAAGCTATAGAAAGTATACTTGGGGCAGGCGGAATGAGGGAGAGGGAAGGAAGGGAAGGGAGGCGGGAAACAAGAAAAGTATTTTAACTGGACATCTCCATGACTGTTCATAATTGATACTTTTTCATGGAAATTACAGCTACTCTATTGAATAGAAGAAGGAAAATTTAGGGTTACCTTTCCAAACTAACCAATAAATAGTAGAAAAAAATGAAAAGAAAGAAATCTGTTTCCTTACTGTGTATTGGTGCACATGAGCTTATCTGGTAACATTCAAAGCAATTTTCAAAGCTTGAATGAAAATTCTATAAAAGTTCTGAATTTCAGGGCATTCAGAAGCAGTCTCCTTATTAAGGATCTAGACATGTTAAAGGGGACTTTAAAATGTCATCTAGTTTGTAAGGATATGAACATAATTCCGTTAAGAACACATTGCTGATACGTTGCTGTCAGTTAAAAAAACAAAATAAATTCCTTCTCTAAAATGTAAATTTACAAGAATGATGTGCTGTTTAAAATGAATAAAATAACCTTCATCTAAAGTAAGAATAGAATGGGAAAAAAAAGGCATCCTTAAATAAACTATATGTTAATCTCCTGTGCATGTCCTTATTATTAAGACCTAGGTATATTCTATGTTCTTTTCTCTTCCTAAATCATCACTCAGTTCACTGCAACTTCATTGAGTCTCACCTGGAAGAAACTGGAGTCTTCCAAAGGAGCATTTCATCTTAATGATCCTCAAGAAAAGCACAATAAATAAAAATATCAGGGCTGAATTTGTAATGGAATAATAATAATGGTCCTATCCTCATAGACTAGATGACTTCTCTTAAAGTCCTTTCCAGGTCAGCAATTCTTAATATCATAAAGTACCAAATTAGTACAAATTTTAAAGATAGTCTTTAAATCTTTTGTTTCCTTGAAGGTTAAATTGTCTTTGGCTTATTTGAAAAGATTTTAACAGTCTTCCAAATCTATTCATGTTATAATACTTGACCATATCAGCCAGTTATAATACTCCAATTGGAGGTCAAAGTTAAGAAAACAACTTTTTCAAACTAAGTAGGAAACTCAAGTCTACTGGAATGAATTAGAAAGACAGTTCTGAAGTTCATTTTTCATCAGATTGGAACCTAGTGAAGTGTGATTTCAGAGGAGGGTATTTCCAACAAAGGACTCTGACAGCAAGTTCTCCATATAATTCTCACTCTGATCAGGACATGGACATAGATCTAACTTTAAAAGACTATAATACACCATAAAACACTTAACAACAAGCTCCCATCAAAGACTGTCCTTCCATACCTTCAACCAGTACTGTAGCTGAGATCACACATCTATAGTGATATAACTAAGAGTTTTTTAAAGCTAAAATGGACGAGTATAAAATAAAAGGAATTGGAAAACAATAGGCAACAGGACACAGTAGCTGGTGGGCACTAACCATGGCTTACTAGAAAGGGTTTTCGAACTAGAAACAGTAAACCTCAGAGCTACTGATCTAACTTTGGGCAACTCACTAATCTTTTCTGTGGAAGTTTCTTCTATTCTAAAATTTGACCTGCCAACTTCATGGGTTTGTTTGAGAAGGAGCATATGAGATGTATATTTTAAAAAATTTTGAAGCATATCAAACACTATACAAATACAAGATTTTTTCTGATATCATCTATACAAATGTTAATGTATTTTCTGATATCAAATAATATGTAAATTGTAAGCATAACTTTTTTTCCTGAAAAGCTGTACATGAATATTTTATAACATTTCAAAATAATTTAGGAGCTATCTTTTTGTAATGCAGATAACTACCATTTTATCATTTCATATTACAAGGCAGTGGCACACATGTGCTTCATTAGTAATAACTTTTTGCCTCTAGAACAGGAATTATTACCTTTTTTGTGTGTTATGGACCCTTTTGACAGTCTGGTAATCCCATACATCCTTTCTCAGAATAATATTTTGAGGTGCATAAAATATATAGAATTACAAAAGAAACCAATTCTATTAAAACACAATTATCATAATATTTTTTAAGTTCACAGACCCCAAATTAAGAAAAATTAAGTAGAATAAAAGCACTTTGGTTAATGGTCTTATGCAATCTAACAAACATTTTTTAAGTGCCTATAGTGTACAAGGCACTGAGCTAGGTGATGTCCTTACAATACAAAGACAAAATGAAAAACAGTCCAGTCATTAAGGAACTTACATTTTACATATTAATGACAAGACTACACATTGTTTTAGAGATTTTTCTAACCAATAAAGGAAAAATTCTGGTTTCATGATTTTCATTTGGGAGACAAAAGAAGAAACCTAAGAAAATTATGGTAGGGTTATAAACTAGAAAAGATGAAGAATGGAGACAGTACTTGAAATCTGTGATCAGAGCTACATTGCTGATAAAACATTTAGAGAATTACAATAAGGACACTAACAACATATAGGTGGTTTATATCTATATATATTGATATTGATATCTATCTATCTATATACACACACATACATATATACATACATACATACATACATATAGTGGGGTAGAACTGATGGAGGATGAGATTGGAGCTGGACCTCTAAAAGGACCCCAAAGCCCCAGAACCAAGTCTCTGGCATTTGCCTGAGGCACCTGGCCCATCCCAGTATAATGCTTTTAACTGCCCTTTCAGTGTAGGCCTCATGGTCTGCACCTGGCCCCACCCCAGGCTATTTTGCCACTCCTTAATTCCATCTAGACCCCTACTCTGCTAATTTCTAGTCATCCCAAGCTATTGGCCATTCCTAGATCCCATTCAAATCTTCCCACAAAATCTTTTTCTTTTATAAAAGAGGTCAGTCTCAGCTTCCAAATGCACAGGCTCTTGAAAAGCCCACCCACTTCTACAGGTGAAACAATAAACCTTGTCTCTGACTGAAAGAACCTGAATTTTTTCAAGGCAGAACCGACACCTTTTGGCCTTGAATTTTGGGGTTCCCAGCACCCCTAGACTGCAACAGAACCTAGGGTGGGAAATTACACTTGAGTTACACAGAATATAGGATTCAGGAACATTTCAGATTTCTCAATGAATATAACATTTTTTTTCTGAAAGATTCCTAAATGGTCAATTTGAAATGACAAGAAATGGCCTAAAATAAAACTGAAAACCAGGAAGCACAGATTGAGATTCAACAGTCAACCATAATAAGATATAAAATAAAAAAAGATCCAGTACTATCATTCTCATAGCGGGCTAAGTTTGGATTTACTGTAAACATTAAATTATCTAATACCATTATAAAAATCTAATGCTA